CTCTCTCTCTCCCTCTCTCTCTCCCTTCCGTCCACCCTCCCTGTATCTCTTAGCGGTGTTGTGCGCGAAGAGGTGGAGGGTCCCTTTCACACTCGGCCCCAGAACCAAATAGGTGGGTTCCCCCGGCGTATGCGAAGTACACCCGCTCTCTCTCTCTCCACCTCCCTCCCTTCGTCCCTCCTCCTCTCTTCCCTCCATCCACGTTTAGAGCTGCAACTCCATTCTGTGTGGGGGTGCCATGTTGCAAGTGGGATTTTGGATTTTTGCACGGTCGCTATCGAGAGGAGTAGTGGGGGATCATGCCGTGCATGCGGAGAGGCAGGGGGAGAAGGAACTCTATGGGGAGATCCAAGTGCCTGGTCATGCAGGCAGGAGAAGATCGCCATCGAAATCTTGAGAAGCTGGAGTAGCAGGAGAAGGCGAAGGAGGAGGGAGAAGATGCTGGATCTGGGATTTGGTCGGTCAGGACGGGGATGCGACGACAGAGGAAGCAGAAGGAGAGTCATCGCAATAGGGTGAAGCATGCAGGGTAAGTTTGTGCAGCGTTAATGAGGTTGTGGAGGAGGAAGACGTCGAGGAGGGTCCTAAAGTACATGGAAGGAGGATGTAGATCGGGCACCCAAAGGGGGTGGGCAGCGCGGATTGCGAGGGGGGCGATCAGGATGGGGGGTCGAGAGAAGGGGAAGGGGTCGGATTGCCAGCCAATCAGGGTGAGGATGTAGGAACCGATGAAGTTTCAGGGGTAAGATCGCCAAGGCCTCAACAGGGTAAGGAATGCAGGTCGTGTAGGGGGATCGGGACAAGGTGGGGAAGAAGAGATGACGAGGCATGAAGAGGATCTCAGAACGGAGGGAAACGAACAGATAAGGAAAGGGGAGGGAGCAGGATAATGACGAAAGGCCTTAATCACGAGAGGGATAGGGTAGATGTCGATATGCAGGTGATGGAGAAAGAGCAAATAAGAGAGAGATAGACTGAGGAGGAGAGGAAATAACATACCAGATCCACAAGGGCCACCTAGAGAATGGGAGAGAAGAACTCGAAGAGGATCCCAACGGAGGAGAGAGTCGTGGAGAAGAGGGGAAACGAGAGGCGACATACACAGGACAAGGCGAGAAGAGGATGGGAAAAGTGGATTGGTGGGGGGAAGATCGGGAGGGGGGATGGAGGGCGCAAGTTGAAAGATGGGGTCGGCCGGGCGGATGGGAGGCAATGGAGAAGGAAGAAAAGGCAAAAGGGGAAGGCCCGAGAGAGAGAGAGAGAGAGAGAGAGAGAGAGAGAGAGAGACAGAGAGGGCATTTGATGATTATTATATAATGACCGGACACCCCCCATAGAGCGAGAGAGAGAGGGATAGAGAGAGGGGATAACAGCAAGAGAACGTGAAGAGTGACGGAGAAGGAGATGGCGAGAGGGACACCAGAGAGAGAGATCTCAGTGGGATAGTATATTCTTCGGGCCACTATCTTCTCTTCATGGGGCACGCCCGTCATCACTCCAAGCCCTGCCCTAGATGATTCCAAATCTTATAAGAAAAAACAAAAAAAAATAAAGATGACGAAATATTGACTGTGTGATATTACTGCGCGCTTTGAGAGACTCTTCTCTATCATGTGCCTTTCCTCCCTTCCCCCCCCCCCCCCCCCCCCCCCCCCCCCCCCCCCCCCTTCCCCCCCCCCCCCCCCCCTCCTCCCTCCCCCGCTTTGTGTGCTGCCGTGCTGTCGTCTCTTCACGTCGGGAGCTTCTCCCGTCACTCTATTGCTGTCGTGTCTTCTTTTGTTTCACGTGTCAATCTCGTGGGGATGTTGCCAGACCGGTTGACACGTGTCAATCTTCTTTTGTTTCACGTGTCAATCGCCACGTGTCAACCGGTCTGTGCTAGCTCTGCTGTCAGTCTACTCGTGGGGATGTCGCCGGACCGGTTGACACGTGTCAATCTTCTTTTGTTTCACGTGTCAATCGCCACGTGTCAACCGGTCTGTGCTAGCTCTGCTATCAGTCTACTCGTGGGGATGTTGCCAGGCCGGTTGCATCTCTCCTCTTCCATATCTCGCCGGGGCGGCGTTGGTGACGCCAACACCTAATGCTCAGCAGCTCTGTGTCGAAATCCAATGCAGAATGGATGATCACATCTTTACTATGATCTTAACCAAGTCAGGATGTTTGTCAAGTTCACAACCGATCCTGTTTGTCGAGCCTACTTCCACTCATCAAGATGGCGATTGGATTGATTTCAATCGATGAATCGATTGATCAAAATTGGTGAAAGGATTGGTTAATCCGGGTTTCATCAGTTGATTTTTTGCTACTGTTTTTTGGTACTCACGGCCATCATCGAGTAATTTACTAGTAATTAATCCATCGACATGCCACGCACATAATCCGAGTTTTATCACATTTCATTATCTTATTGGAATCAAAGCGTTAAGCGTTGAACTCTTTTCCACACAAAAGACGTTGCTCAAAATGTTACTGCATCAGTATTCTTCCTTTGCTCTTTCTGTCGCTCCCTGCATGCATCTCTCTCTCTCTCTTTCTCTCTTTCGATGTGCAGAGTGAGAAAGGGGTGTTTCTCGCCTCTCCTTCTCTCTTGGGAGACGGAATTTATTGTCAGCTGGTCTTTTTTTTTTTTTTTTTTTAATAGCTGGTCATTTTAACAGAATACGGGATATCCAATCCAACCGTCAAACGAGAAACAAAAGATTCAACCCCTGGCACCAATAAAGGGGGAGGGGGGGGAAGAGAGAGATTCAACCTCTTGCATCTTAAAGAACAAGAGTCCACCCCTTGCTTCTGAAAGAATAAGATTCAATCCCCGGGGCGGGGATGGAGGGGAGGGGAGGGAAGGGGAGGGAGGAAGAAAGAGAAAAAGAAAAAGGAGTGTGTGTGTGTGTGTGTGTGTGTGTGTGAGAGAGAGAGAGAGAGAGAGAGGTTCTGTCTTGTTTTTCTGCTTTGGAACTCCTTTTGCTATAGCTGTGACCTTTGGGCCTGCCATGAAAACGTTCGCTGTTCTGAGCAAAAAAGAGGGAATGAAAATAGAAGTCGGAGCTTTTTCTTTTGGGTGTTAGGTATGTGGTATCATTTTCCTGTCTTCGGCGTCAGCAATTGGTTGTTTACTGGAGAATTATGTTTCCGTTAGCGCGTTTGCCTCTGTGTGTGTGTGTGTGTGTGTGTGTGTGAGAGAGAGAGAGAGAGAGAGAGAGAGAGAGAGAGAGAGCTGTAGATGTGTGTGTGTGTGTGTGTGTGTGTGTGTGTGNGAGAGAGAGAGAGAGAGAGAGAGAGAGAGAGAGAGAGAGAGAGAGAGAGAGAGAGCTGTAGATGGATTACTTACGTAGACCCGAATATGTCGTTGACATTTCCGTGTATGCGGGCGTAGCCGCACTGGCTTTACTTGTGCAAGTTAATATCTGTTTCAAGGGAAAAGAGTGCCGACTTCACCGGCAGCAATGAGCTCGTTTGCCATTTCGCAACTCTCGGCCTTGCATTCACAAGCACAAGTTCGCCTTCTGTCTCGTCATTGGGACCTGGAGTGCGCCTGGTGCGCTCTGAGCAGGCGAAGAGCAAGCAAAGAGTTTTTTTTCCGACAACAAAGACCAAGTTGCACAGGGGTAAAGGAAAAGGCTTCCACTTTCGATAGCTTTGCGACATTGCGTGCATCGTCGTCTTCGTCTTCCAGTTTGCAAACCCTGACTGGCGCCGCTGCTGAAGCTCTTGTTGCGGCACCCTCCCCTTTAAAAGTGCAGTTGCCGGTATCCTGTATAGAACCATTCTTACCACCCCCTGACTCTCAGAAGGATGCCTCAGGAATAGAGTCCCTAGTTTCCACAGCTAGCTTGGCTTCTTCCCCTCCATCGTCGCCTTATGGGCCTTCTCCTGAGTGGATTGCTCGACCGCACATCTTGTACCCTATTGAGGACTATGACGATCATAACATGGAGGCGGCTCCGTGGGAGCGGCTCACGGATCACGTGAAGAGGAAGAGGATGGGTGTCAGCGTCGAAGCAAGGAAGAAGATTTCCATGCTTGCAAGGAAGAACAGATGGAAGAGACGTGTCGCCGCGGCCATGCAAGCATACCCTGCTGTAACTTCGTCCTTACTGGAGGAGATTTCCACCCCTGCGGCCGCTGCCATGGCTGCCGATATTGCCTTAGCCAGAGGTATTGTGGGCAAGTTGCCCAAGAAAAGGAGGAGCAAGAAGGACGCCAAACTGGAAACCCCAAAGGAAGCTATGGCACGAAGTAGAAGGGAGAAGAGAGAGCTAAAGAAGGTTGCTCAGGAGGTGGTAGCTAGTCGAGAGGAGCTGCTGCGGGGGCTGGCGATGCTTACTGCATCTGTCCCTGTCTGGACTTGCCGATGGTGCAAAGACGTGCACATAGGACCTGAAGGGCATGGAATCAGAACGTGTCACGGCACAGGAAGTGACCTGAGGAAAGGTAGGCATGTCTGGGTGAAGGGACATGTTTCAGATGTGTACAGTGAGAAAGTGACTTATCATCTTTATGATCGAAATGCTGATCCCCCGACTCATCGACTCAAGCATCTGTGGTATCGAGTTTCTGTGGTCTTAGAGCTTTGCGCGCAAGCAGGCATAGATCTCCCAGGTCTAGAGATGGTTCGCAAGGAGGAGGAGGAGGAGGAGCAAGAGGACGAAGACGAGCAAGAGGAGACGATTGGGACGTCAGCAGGAGGAAACGATGAAGTACTTAAGAACGGCGAAGTTGGGGGAGAGACAATGGCTTCAGAAGCATTGAGTTTGGAGGACAAGAAGTCGGAGGAGGGTCATAAAGTGGAAGACAAAGCAGTTTCGGGACCAGATACAGGAAATTCTGCAGCCCGGGATGATGCATATCAGGTGCAGCTCACCGTTTGGAAGCAAAAGAGGGGTCGAAAGAGAGGCTATTATGAAGGGTCTCGACAGCAATCCGCACCCCCTGCCAGGACTCCGGCTGGTAACGTAGCAGAGCTAGCACAGAAGACCTTGGATGCGTATGTCAAGATGAGGCATGGGCTCCAGCTTCTGATGCAGAAGTACAGGGTATGTACTTGTGGCTATTGCCCGGAGGTGCATGCAGGCCCAAGGGGTCATCGAATAAAAAATTGTGGAGGACCCAAGCATCAGCACAGGGGTGGCATGCATGGGTGGATGACGGCGGAGATAGAGGACTTCTTGCCACCCAACTATGTTTTCCACGTCCGTTCACCGGATCACTCCCTAGTTAATGGCCTTCGTAAATTCTATGGCATGGCTCCTTCAGTAGTGGAGCTTTGCTGCCAGGCGGGGGCAGCTGTGCCAGAAGAATTCAAGCTTGGCATGAGACTCGACGTGGTTATTCCTGAGCTATCTGAGGCGTTCATTGCAGTTTAGAATTGATTGATTGATACTCTTCACTTCCCTACCAGTTTACTACTAGTATGATTACAAGATGCAGGTTCTCACTGCCCTGCCAGTTTTACTGTGGTGACAAGATGCGGGTTGATGTGAACATGGTCATATGCCTTTGCAATAGAGTCGTGGTATGTTTAGTATTTACTGACCTCCTTTATGAAGCCGTCCATTCTTTGTGTGCACTGTACATTTATTTGCGTAACTCCATGCAGGTTCGGGTTCGTCTGTTGTCATCAATGCACTTGAGACAGGTATGTTGGATTGGCAGCAGTGAACTAAGAAGTGCTGCTGTTTGTTGCCAAAGGAATAAGTGATTGAAATCTCAATCTCTCCTGTGCTCGTGGTGTTCTCACACATGTACCGATGCACCCCCTCCCACATTCACACACATTGAAGGGTTTCATTGGTTTGAGAAATGGATTGGTTGGTGGGAACAACAACAGCTTTTGGCAATACATGCATGCGGACCTCTTCGTTAACAGTCCCCCATGTACTCGTTCATGATTCAGAAGTGGATTGGTGCGGACAAGAACAGCCGGCATCTTCCGGTACATGCGCACACACGTCTCTGTGTCCGCACACCTTTGCTTATGGTCTCCCATGCACTGGGCCACGCCACGTTCTTATGGCATCTCTTTTCTCTGTAGAGAGGGGTTGGAATTGCAACCGCTCGACCGCTGCACATCTGTCGTCCTAACATTTGGAATCATGTTGCCTGTGATTTGCGTCTACACCTACCCATTCAACATAGTTAATGTGACGGCAGGGGGATTGGATGTGGTGCTTCACGGGCCACAACCGAATCTGTCTTGCCTGGTCTGTGGAGGTGGTCCACTCACTCACCAGAGGGAATACCTGCTCCTTTCGTTCCCCTGTCTCTGCAAGCTGACCCGTGAGTGGCTGCTGTCTTTGAAGCCAGTCTCTGGCCGTTTGTTCAGCTCGGGAGAGTATTCAGGATCTAACGGACTCTTCCTTCGCCCTCTCTCTCTCCCTCTCTTCCTTCTTTTTCCCCTCCCTCCCTCCCTTTTCCTTCCCGTTCCCTGTGCAGAACCGCTAAGTTCATATGAATGAGCCTCACCAAGAGAGCATACGAAGTACTAGTTGTGAGTTTACTGAAAGGCAAGCGGATGTGTAGGCATTCTGTGCTCAACTACACGAACATGACAGGCCTTGTACCAGCCGAACCCAAAATGTGGTCTCCCTTCAATGACCCGCACGATTGCATTCTGATGAGAATTCTGTCCTTCTGATCTGATTGCTGAGAATTCCGATGCTGAGTCTGTTTGCTATGTCCTCTAATTATATATGTGACCTGTGAAACGGTTTTCACCTTTTAGTAAAAGCGGATGCAGTACTCAGAGTTCGATCCCTAGACCTCACCCTACACCTGTACAGTATTTGTGTGAACCCCGAGAATTGAACCTGTGACCTGTGTATTCATAGGCAGTTGGTAGACCTGTCGGAGGTCCGTAGACAGCTGGGGTTCGATCTGTAGGTCTATAGCGTAGGAATCTTAGTGAGTTCTGGAAGCTTAGCTGTAGAMCTTCTAGAAGGTAGGCAAGTGGGCAAGTGGTCAAGTGGTGAGTCTAAGGTAGGCTCACGTTTTCAGACGAAGACAAGTGGCAAGGTCAACAGGTAGGACCTCAGTGCAACTGCACTGAGTCGACGGTACGACCGCCTACAGTCAGTAGAAGAGTCTAGAGAGTCCCAGTCCAGTCCAGCAAGTACCACAGGGGGACTGTGAGCACCAAGGGACGATGGCAAAGGGCAGACCAACGAGTTTCTGAAGTATAAATCAAGAGGCAGCGCCCAGCCATTCATT